TATTTTGCATAGTAATATTTCATTGCATGTGAAATAGGAAAAACATTTTTTTTTTTTTTTTGAAAATTTCAATCAATATATATCATGTTTCATGAATAAAAATGAATTTCATAAAATATTTAGCATTTTTTTTTTGCAATCATTTTTGGATTCGATTGCAAACCGAATGAAGGAAAAAATAGGAAGCAGGTAAAAAACACATGTTAATCATTAACAACAACAACTGATTTAGAAAGTTATTAACTGAGGTGTGTGTGTGTTTGTGTTTGTGTTTGTGTTTCTAGAAACAATCCCAAAAAAAAGTCAGTCGAGACACAATATGGATGGTTTGTCTATCTGTATGTTTGTTCCGTAATATAATATGGTTGTCAAGTTGAACATTTAATCGAACTACTACTACATATGAAAACATTATGAATATTTATGTGATAAGGGTTGTTACCATCATTATACAATTCAAAAAAACATATGAAACAAAACGATCAACAAGAATTTTTTTTATTCTGGCTCTTGAATAAACTTATGAAAACAATTTTCATTATTCATCATCATCATTTAAACACACAGACATATTACAGATATTCTGGATAGATTAATGATATTCTTGTGATGATGATGATGATGATGATTATAGGCTTTTTTTGTGAATAACAACTGAAAATGAAATGAAAAAAAATAATAACATCAATGACGTGTGTGTGTGTGTAGAAACAAGCCAAGAAGATTTTCATCATTTAGCATTTTCGGATGAAAAGAAAAAATGGACAGAAAATAGATTTTTTTTCTTCATTGATTTAATCGAAACTGGACAACAAACAAATGATGATGATTATAATCAAATGTTTGCAGAGATAATTGTCAAAATAGCAAACAAACAAATGAATGAAGAATGGATCGATTTATTTTTTGAATGAATGAATGAATGAATAACAAGGAAAAGAATACAAATACATTCATGTTGAAATATTCAATTCTATCTCATATGACATATATACATCATTCATAGGAATTTTTAGAGAAAGAAAAATAGTGAATAATTAATGTCACATGTTTGGACATGATGATTAACATTATTTTTTTTCGAAAATTGTTTATCGACCAAATCAACATTATTTTTTTCGTTTTTCGTTTCAGATGTTTATACATAGTTTCCAGTGTGAAAAAATAATGATAATAATAAAAAAAAATTCAACACTTTTTTCGTTGATGATGATCGAAATATTGTTGGATGCTTAAAAAAATTAGACAAGGAAAAAGTAGAACCTAGAAATGAGCGATTGATGAACTGAAAAGAAAAGAAAAATCTCAATAATTGAGTTTATTGAGAATTTTCGTTTCGTTCGTTCGTGTATGATGGTTTTTAACGTGAATTACAATCATAATTCTTAAAGAATAATGTAGGAAACTAATTTAAAATCAAATCAAACAATAAATAAAATACACAAGCCATAAATTAAGTGTGTGTGAGAGAGTAAGCTGTTTTTTTTGTTGTTCAAGTGTCGAAAATTGATTGAGTATTGTATAATAATGAATGAATGTAGTGTCTATATCAATCTTCTGAGGTTTTCCACAAAAAGAATTTATTTTTTTTTTTTTTGTAGATTAATCTATCGTTCTTCAGTTTTTTTCCAATAGTGTTAATTTGCTAAATCAACCCAGAATAATGTATCAAACATTTTTTTTCTGATTTGTTTTTCAAATTGAACCTTTTGTTTTTTGTTTGTTTGTTTCATCGTAATCATTATCATTGTTTATCGAGTGCAACATAAATACATCCATTCTATTTATAATGAAATTTTTGGTGAAAAAAAACCAGAATGACTAACTAATTATTTGTATTCAAACAAATGGAAAACATTATTTATTTATTTTTCAAAGATTCAATATAATCTTCATTAATTTTTTATTATCGATCAAAATTCATTGAATCAAATGGAATAGAATGAGATTATGCAATGATGAATTTTTATTGAGAAGGTAACAAACATTGATTACGATTTTGAAAGTAAAAAACAAACGGAATGGCAATTTTCATAATGGAGAAAAAAGAAGTTTCCCTTGTTTCAATACATTTCATTCATTCATTATCATTCTTATCATTTTAATCGAAAATTGTTACGAATGATAACTTGACCATTTACATATATGATATGAAAAAAAGTGTTATAATTTATGTGAATGGGTAACCGGAGAATGAATAAAATGAATCAAGAATAATCATCAAATGCAAATGTTGAACAAAACAAAACAAAATGATATTCTTTTTTTCAATATAAAATATAATCATAAAGATAGGTGTAACTGGGTCTTGAATGAAGAGAAAATGATTTCGGTTTGAATGAAATGAATATTCCAAACACAAAGTTTACCTTTAGCCATTGGTGATAACATTAATAGATGTACACAAGAGGCACCAAAACCATGTCCTATTAGGGTAACATTTGTTGGTTCACCACCAAATTCAGCAATATTTTCCTGTATCCAATGTAATGCAGCTACTTGATCCATTAAACCATAATTTCCACGAATTGTACCATCAACTAAAGCTGGTAAGAATCCTGATAATTCAAAATAGAAAACAAAAATCATTATAAAAAACAAATCGATTGAATTCTATTTTTTTTTTTTGTAAAACTAACCAAGTACACCAAGACGATAATTTAATGTAACAACAATAACATTTCCATAGCTTGACCAAATTGATGCATCAAATGAATTACCGGTACCGGTTTGATATGATTCACCCGAAATGAATACAATCACTGGATAACGTTGCTGTTGTTGTTGATTTTTACCATTCTGATTTCCAGTACTTTTTTGATATTGATGATGATGATTCAATGTATTTGATTCTGTAAACAACAAACAAACAATCAAACAAAACCCAAAAATTAAATAAAATCCACATTTCAAAATCAAAATTTAAAACTTCATATCATTTCCATATATGGAATAGTTTAATGTTTTATTTTTAATAAAAATTATGAACTAAATGATCATATCCAAAATAAATTAAATAAATATGCATAGGTATTACAAATCCGAAAGAAAATATATGTAAACCACATTTGAAAAAAAATAGATAAACAATGTTTACATTAAGTAGATAGTAAATAATAAAACAAATAAATAATCATTGTAAAAATTATTATCAATGAAATATATTTAAAAATTTGCTTCAAAATGGTCATTAATTTTGATGATTTTTGCTGTTGTTTTCGTTGATTATGATGATGTTGACAATGGTGATGACCATGATTGGCTACCATATGATTCCAGGAATAATCAATTTCAACATTATTTTGATGTTGATCATCATAATCATCGCCATCATTGAACAATATCAATCGTTCTAGATCATAATCTGATTGAAATTTCGATTCAAAAGGTTTTTGATAATTTTGTTGATTAGAATAATGATGTTGCCAATTATATTTAGTTGTTGATGTTAATGAATCACGTCCCCCATGAAAAGTTGACAATAAAAGTAGCATGAAAAAATCTTTACCTAAATTATGTACATTAATACCATTATTGAATTTTTCCGTTGAATCATCATCATCATCACCATTCGATAATAATAAATCATTTTCATGTAATGATTCTGTATCTGAATTTTCATTCATATTGTATTGATTTACGAATTTGAAAAGAAAAGTGAAAATACGACAAAGTTTTTTTTTCTAATATTCAATGAATCTACAAACAAACAAACAAAAAAACTACACTCTCAAACACAGATGACCATATAACAAAAAAAAATAACATTAACATTGTTTATGAAAAGATTTTTGAATGAATAACAAACAAACAAACAAAAAAACATTGCGATATTTGATCTTTACGAAGAAAAATATAAATGAATAATTCTCTTTCTCTCGCTCTATAGAAAGATACATTATATTCATAGTAAGATGAGATTCAACAAAAAAAAACAACAACTATGATTTATTGTTTGTTTGTTTGCATTTTGGATTGACCTGGACCTTTTGGATATTTTGGAATGATAAATTTATTTCATTGGAATTTTTTTTTTGTTGGAATCTGTTTGTTTGTTTGAATTCAAAAGAAAACACCATTATAAAACATTTCTTTTCTATATAGTCGATGGATTGATAAAGAAAAAAAAAGATGGATAAGTTGCCAGGTATGTATGATGCATTATCAAACATCAAACATCAGGTACAGTGGTTTTTATAAAACGATTGAATAAAACAGTGGGGAAAAAACAGAATTTTGTTTTAATGGATATTTTAATTGAATTTCCGTCCGGTTCTATGCATCATCATTATCGTCATTCGAAACACGTTATAAAAAAATGGAAGTTTTTTCTTCACTTTTGTTCTTTCATATTCCCGGAAATTCATCATATTCAATCAATGAATAATGAATACGTGATTTTGCAAAAGACGGCGTTTGGAATTCAATTCAAGAAAATTGTCATGGAATCGAAAAAATTTTCTTGTTTTTTGATGATTTTACTATATGATAATCATCATCATCTTTGTCGTCCTTCATCATGACAAAATTAATTTCATTTCACAGTTTTTTTTTTGTTCGTTATTCTTTTCGTAAAAAATTGTCTATTCAAAGATACACTACTACTACTGCTACTATTTCCGACGAATGGTTTTGAATTTTAAGTAAAAAAAAAAAAATTTTCTAACAAATCAATTTTCCATTGTGTTCAGAATCGTGAATAATAAAAAAAAATTATTGGCAAGATATATAATTAGAAATTCATATTCTGTCTTTTTCATGCAAATAATAAATCTTCAAGATTATATTCACTATGTTCAGTTTTGTTATAGTGTGTATGGAGATGTTGAAGAATTCAATTTGAAACAATGAAACTAAAAAAAAAGTGGGAAAAAAATCAATGAACTGATTGAATGAAAAAAAAATTCTTGCAAAACTTAATAATTAATCTATGATTCCATGTTCTATAATTATGGTTGTTGCAATTTTTTATTTGATCAATGATGATGATGACTATATATTTTTTTCCACTTGCAACATAGGTTTAAATTATAAAAAATTTAATCCGATTAAATTTGAGAAAGAAAAAAAAGTTGAGAATTTGGCTTTGTAAAGAAGAAAAAAAATTGTTCAACAGTAAAGATGATGATGTTATTTGAAAGTGAAAATGAAAGAAACAAAAAAACTGGAATATAATGAGGAAGTCAGCGTAGCAACAAGAAAAAAAAATGAATTTTTTCGGAACAGAATCGATCGCTTTAACAAAACGATAACAAGTAAAAATGAAATCAATTTTAAATTTACATTTGTAAATTATTTAAATCAAAAAAAATTGTAAAAGACAAATGTTATTGGGGAGGAGGTGGGAAAAAAATGAAGCCCTTGAATACAGTAACCATAATCAAAGATGGGAATGAGAAAAAGCTAAAACATTAGAATTCAGTAAAATTCATTAATCATTTTCATCAAAACTAAACAGCAAAATACACAATGATGAGAATAATGAGTAAAATAAGAAAACAACAACAATTTTCTTTTAACAATTCAAAACGATTCTTTGGTTTTGTTTTGATTTTAATTGTTTTGATCCAAAACCACCACCAACACCACTATAACAAAATAATGGTTGTTTGTTGGATTGAATGAATGATGCAAAGTAAAATATGATATGATGAACGGGTAATAAATAACTTAACGACGTGAATTCATTCATTTTTTGTTTTTCTAACTGCAAACACATAAAACGGTTGGAAAAAAACAAACAAATATCCCGAAAAAAACAGAAGGAAAAATGCTTTTTTGCAGAGCAAAAAACAAATTCATCAATTATTTATTGCGAAGAAACGTTACCGAAAAATAATACAACCATATCGATATATATATGGAAAAAGAATGAATGATAGAATGAAACGATTGAGACAAATTGAAAACAATCAAATCAAATGGTTTTTGATTGCATAGTTTTTTTTTGTTAGTTTTGGCCATCAATTGAAACAAAAACAGAAAAAAAATCACCCAAAATGAAATCTGAAACGGCTAAAAGAAATAAGAGAAAAGCAAACACACACACAACTGTAGAAATTAATGGGAAAATAGATGGACGGACGACATCAATATATTCGTCGATCGATGTTCACGACGATTGTTTTATTTCATTTTCATTTTCCTTGTTTGACATTTTTAATTTTTCACTTTTCCATTCAAAAACAATTCGATCGAATGAAAAAAAAAACAATTATTGTTGGAAACAGCAAACACAGAAAAAAATTATAATGAAAAAAAATCAATTTTTTTTCATTCAAAAATCCCTCGAATTGGTCTAATCGTCCAATCTTATTATCAACATTGTTGAAGAAAATCCTTTTTTAAAAATTCAAATGGGAGAAAAATGATCGATGAAATCAGAATCCATTCTCATTATAATTGAATGAATGAATGAATGAATGAATGAATGGTAAAAAAGAGAGAAACTTTATGGTATCATTTCGACAAATATATGGAAATGGATGCTATGAATTTTTTTAGTTCAAAAATTCCATTTTTTGATGGATACTCATTTTTCTTTTTTTTGTATTCTTAGGGTTATTTCCTCCCATTAAAACAATTAATCATCAGAAAACTAAAAACTAAAAAACTAACATTGAATGAAAAATTATATTTCATTTCGCATTTCACATTCCCTCGTTGAAATGAATGTAAAAAAATTTGTATATTTGTATTGTATAATTGAACCAGAGAAAAGCAAAGCAAAAAACATGATATTTTGTAGCCAAAAAGCATAAATGGATGGAGGGAGATAGAGAAAAAAAATGTAAAATCATCACCATCATTATAGATATTAATGGTTGTATGTTTGAGTGTTTTAACGTACTTTTTGTTTTCATAATAATCATTATGAAAAAATCAAAAGAAATGAAAATGTTTTATTTTTTTGAAAGGAATAGATTGAAAAAGAGTAATAAGTAATTATTCAAAACATTTTTTTACCATCGATAAAATATCTGAAACAAAAAAAAAAATCTTATTTTTGCATAAAAATGCTACTGATTTTTGTTTCTGTTTTAATGAATCATTTTGCTTTCAATTTCCTTGGAAATGATGAATGTCAAGAATGAACATATTTTATGAACATTTTTTTGGGAGGAAAAGATTTTAGATATATAAGAAGGAAAAATGCTTGAAAAAAACATGAAACGATCGAAATCAGAAAAAGTAACAAACAGAATAGAATCGATTTTAATTCAAGTTTTGGATTGAAATGTTTTTTTTTTCGTTTCTTCTTCTTTGCATTTGTTTGTTTGTTTGTTTGTTTGATTTTAATCTTGTTTCATTCCAATTAAAAATGTTTATCCATGTGAAAAAATGATGATTTGAAACCAATTGGTGAAAAAAAATGAGAGGAAAGAGACAAGAGAGAGGGACCAAATGAATAAAACATGCAAACATGCACAATTACAAACACACAAATGATTTGGTAAACAAATGAAAAAAACATGATAATGAAAACGCTTAAATTCTATGGGCTTTGTTTTTCCTTTTAGCTCTTTTCTATTGAATGGTTGAAAACAACAACAATACAAAAAAAAACACAAATGAAAATCCTTTTTTTTTTGGGAACAAAAATCCTCATCAGCAAATGTAATCAATAATGAATGAAATAGAGAAAAAACAAAAGAGACCAAAGATCAATCATCATTGTAAATTATAAAATGAATTATAAAACAAAAACAAAAACTTTTTGTTTCCACACTCAGCCTAAGGGAATCAGATTTTTTTTTGTTGTATGTGATCCAAATGTGTGTGTGTGTGGTTGTATTAATATCAAATTATATA